TTTATATAATAATTATATTATTAACATTAATATTTTATTTTTTATTAAAAAATTAATACTTTTTTTTTATGTTCGCAGGCAAATTTGCCTGCTTTACAGTTTAAGGGATATACAATATGAAATATACAGAATTTGTTATTATCAAACCAGATAGTACTAAATCAACTATCAATACTAATAGTCAATACTAATAGTCAAAACTACTAGTGAAAATCATTTAAATGTTTTTATTTTTTACATCTTTGATTTTTAGTTAATTTTATTTTTAGCAGATAACAAGATGAAAAGGGACAGTATATAAAGATAATTATTGCAAGATAAAGAATATAATGATATTCTTAGTAGTATTAATATAAAAGTATTGATACAAATAAATAGATTTAATCATATATGATTAAAAGCAAGATAATATTTTGTAATTTTTAGAGTAATAAAGTAATGCTTATTTGCTTAGAAAATAAATAGATATATTAGTATGATTATCTTGATTAATATGTAATATTATGATTGAACAAAAAATATTTTCATATAATAAACTTATGTAATAGATTCTTACATAATATATTGTAATTTGAAGGTAAAGCTCAAAGTAATATAAAATTTATTAAAGAGTTTATTAGTTTTAAACTTTGCTCTTTTGAAAAATAGCATTTATAAAATTTAAAATATATATAAAAATACTTGTATATAGAAAATTACAATTATAATAGTTCAACTGAATATGAAAAAGTAGTATATTTCTTGAAAGTTACAAATATAGTTGTTCAAAAAAGATTATGAGAGAAAAGTTTGTCAAATTGTGTAAGGCATTTTAGGCTCTTTATAGATCTAAACAAGAAATATTTTTAATAGCTCAATTGAAAGTAATAAATGATAAAGAAAAATTACCAGCTGATATCTTAAAAAAAAATATGTACTAATAAAAGAACTTTTTATTATTAAGATTATAATACGTTTTTTATTAAAAAATATATCTAAATATGTTAAGAATTAGTTACACTTATTTTAAAAATATTAGAAATCACTTAGCGATAAATGGTATAATACTGCATGTTGTTACCGTAGAATTCTTTAACTTGGGGTGGTCACGTTATCAAGTTTCTATTCAAAATTTCTAATTGCAGTCTACTGCGGTTAAGACGTTAGGATTCGCCTAACTCTTAACTTTATCAAATTTATGCGTTAGACTTAAACAAATCTATCAAGTATGAAGACTTGAAAGATAAGATTACGAATGATTTAATTAAAGAATTCAGATAACGAACTCAATTACAAATAATGTGTAGGGATCACGTCAGACTATATGAAAACACGAAGAAGCAGAAAGATATAAATTTTGAATGATTCCTTTATTAATATTGAAACTCAATTGTTAATCCGTAAAAGAGTTAATTTATAACATAAGAAAAGTCTATTTATTTATACAAAATTTCTTTCGTTACGGCTAACTAATTACTATACTATAAACTAACTATAAAATATAAGTAAAATAAATATATATAAAATAATAAAAATATAAAATATAATAAAAATAATAATAAAATTTAGAATATTAATAATAAGTATAATACTAAATATTCTTAGACTTCATCTAATTCGTAAAATTAGGATTATTATCAGCAGTGATGTGCACTGGAAGATTGGAAGGCATTGGAACCTTCTAATTCTTCCAATTCCAACCCTTTCAATGCCAATAGGTCTTCATTGGAAGCTTCCAATATATTATTTACGTGATCTAATTTTTTATCTAATAGTATTGATTCATATGACAAATTCAATGTTCATTTATTTATTTATTTTATTTATTCAAATTTCAAAAACAAAAACATCTAAATCTATTCATTTAACACTAGTAAATAGTCTGGAACACTAATAGTAGAGCTAAATAAAGTTTTAAGTTTTCATTTTGCTATTTTATCAATTGCCGGGTGTTTATAATCTTTAAAAGATCATCGTTTAAAATTGTCCAATGATCTCTTAATTCTCTTAATGCTTCTTTCTCTTCCAATCGGAATTTCTCCTCTTCTGCTAACATTTCTTTCCATTCATTAATTTCTCTTTCCCAATATTCAGAAGTAATAATATTAGATTGATTTCCTATAATTTCATCATTTAATTCAATATCTGTAGGATTTTGTTGTGAACCTCCTGTTAAATCATAATTAAATTCAACTGGATTAGCATAAAATCAAGAAACTCTATATTATTTTGCTGCAGTTCCTTTTTTTTTAATGAAAAATTGATGGATGCACGAAGTTGACTCATTTCCATCACTTTATCATTCTAAAAAAAAAAATATATTATTAAATTTAGTATAATATATAAAAATTTAATATTAAAAATTAAAACTTACTGTTAACCGATTACGACGATTTGTATGTAAAAAGCCCATAAAAGATCACATGCATTCAACTGATGCTGCATTTACACAAATTCCAAAGATTTTTATAGCAACACCAGCTAATTCTTTATAATCACCTTCAATATACCTCCAAAATTTAAATACATCATCGCCAAATTGATTAAAAGTTTCATCATTAAATGGCTCAACTTTTTGGCGATAATCTTCAAAATCTAATAATAATCTAGTTGGTATTTTCCAAAACCATGCTTTGTAATAATATGTCAAATAGCGTCCCAATGTGGTAAATGATAGATTACTAATTCTAGAATTAAAGTATGTGAATCGATACTTTGAATGAAGCATAAAGAAAAGCAATAATAATGGTTGCTCCCATTGATTCCAACGTTTTTCCAATCGGTTAATCATTTTTTCTCCTAACTCAACATCTGAAAACTGTTTTCAATATTGAACAAAATATCCTAAAGCATGGAGTACTTCAAAAAGACGTGCTTTATCACTTTGAAGTTTATTTAAAATGCCACAATAAGGTAATAACATATCTTGTAAAGTTTCTATCATGTTTCACCAACTATTATTAAGAAGTATTTTACAAATATTTGCATTTAGGTAAAGTTCATTTGTATTTGATGTAGATGAATTCATTTCAGGAGTAAGTTGTGGACGTTCATATCGAATAGCTAAATTCTAAATAATAAATAAATAATAAATTAATTAAATATTAATAAAGTAAATAA